GGCTCATTTTTGCAAGCAAAATGAAACACTTTTATGTTTTATTCATACAAAATGAAAACCCCTTTCCTTTGCAGCATTACAAATTGAATTTGCTCGTGTAAATTGCTATAAAAAAAAAAAAAAGAAAGAAAGAATTAAAAGCAAAAGAAAGTTAAAAAAAAAAAAAAAGCAGGAATACAAAGGCCCTTTCTTCTAGGGAATGAAAGCTCAAGGGACCAATGGGGAGAAATAGAACCTTTCACTGGCAAACATACTTTTTTATTTACTGCTTCCAAAAGCAATCCGACTCAAGGGCCCCCAACCCAGTGCAGAAGCTTGAAGTCCTGACAGCCAGTGTGGAACTTGAGGGAATTTCTAAATGACACTTATCTGTTAACACTGAGTAAGAATAAGAAGCAGTTTCAAAAACATGGTTAACCGAGCCCACATTTCAAAAAACATAACCAAGGCAATGTAACCGAATTCATACTGCTATCATTGGGGGGCTGCGGGGGGGGGGGGGGGGGGGGGGGGGGGGGGGGCTCTTCTTGCCTTGGAAGTTGGAGGATAACTGAACTCATCGTGTCTGGAACAGCCCCTCATCCCCCTGTATCCAATGATAAGCCGTCCTTGAAACCTGAGGTCTGACTCCTCCCATATTCACCCTGTCTTTGAAAGGAAGCTGTGTAATTAGATGTATCTGCTGGTCTCTGTTCCCTTCACGAATTAAGAGCTAACCTTCATTAACCATTTACCACGTCTCCATCACTGTGCCAGTTAACAATACGGACACAACTGTATATATACACAATATATACAAATGCTTTGTGGCCCCTATTATGATCTCCATTTCACAGATGAGAGAAACTGGGATTGAGAGCTTGAATAATTTTGTCAACTGGATTTTTGAGTATTTTTTTTCTCCCTGAACATGTGGCGTTTGGCCTCAACTTCAAAAACTGGGTAGGCTGAAACCGTCATCAATGAAAATCTGCTTATGGTCTAATCTTAAGAAAGGTTAACAATCCCATCTAGTTGTACATGCATATAATGATCTTTACCGAGGCTCCTGCCTTTAAAACAACCTTGGGGGACAGGAACCAGGCAAGAATCGAGCATCCTACACCCTTCCATTAAGGCTAATGTTTTCAATGATGAGCAAACCTCATCAGGTATTTTCCTTGTAAAATTAATCAATTCATATCAACTCATCCCTGTGGTGCTATAGCTCTGGCATGGTTAAGTGAATGACAGACAGGTGTATACGCACAAATTATCCACTCATTTCCCCCAGTGCACCTGGCCCAGCTGTCACCGTTCATCACTCCGTTACAAAAGCTCAAAGACACAACTCGGGGTGCCTGGGTGGTTCAGTTAAGTGTCCGACTTCAGCTCAGGTCATGATCTCGTGGTTGGTGGGTTCGAGCCCTGCCTCGGGCTTTGTGCTGACAGCTCAGAGCCTAGAGCCTGCTTCCGATTCTGTGTCTCCCTTGCCCTCAGCTCCTCCCCCACTCACACTCTGTCTCTCTCTCTCTCTCTCCCTCAAGAATACATAAACATTAAAAAAAAAATCCAAAAGCTCAAAGACACAACTGTGCTCTTAGGAAGCTTTATCCAATCAGCAGGCACAAGACACTCCCGCTTTCTCTCTTGCAGACCATTTATTCTTATGTCTGGTTATAGCAAAAATGCTTGTTCTTACACTGATGAGTGCATAACCGTTTTTCTTTCTGCTTGGAACCTGAAAACGGGGGTTCAGTTTTTAGTTTCGGGGGAACACAAAGAACCAAAAAGGTGGCTTGCTGGAGGCTTGCCTTTGTTTTCCAAAAACCAAAGCAGATCTATGTGTCTTACGTTAATTTATTGTACTCGTTTAAATAACTGGCATCCACAGTTATTTAACTCAAAAGACTACCAAATCTACCCGGGATAAACCAAGGCAGAGCCCCCAAGAGAGGACCACACGACCCAATAAACCAGAATGCCCAGGAATGGAACCAGAATGCCCAGGAATGGAGCCATAAGCCCAGAAGAGCATCTTTCTGTCATCTGGGATTTTCACTTGCTTTTGTCCATTTTCAACAAAGAAACAACTAATCATCGTATGCCTGATCCCTAAATGCTAGGAGATCCTCGGATACTTTGAGAGTTGCCAAAGGTTAGCTATAATTTAAGAGCTGAATGCATTTCATGTAGCCCAATTACTTAACAACGGTATCCAAGTATGAGGTCTGTGGTAACTGCCACTTTATTATTTAGAATATGTATTTGGATTTCCTTATTTCCAGCCATCCTAGAGAACAGACGATTCACAACACATCTAAGAAGTACTTGCTGTAAATAACAAACGTTCAGCAGAATTTCAGAAAAACACTGAATGGAATTTTGAGGTGACCAGACATATCAAATGTTAAAAAAGTTCGGGCAGCCCCAAACCCCAGAAGTTCCTGATCAGCATGATTTAATGATCTAAAGCTCGTGGTACAACCTCTCCCTTCACACAAGCCCTCTAAGAAGGAAACACCAACAGGAGGGCTTCTGAAATGGCTAAGATTAGCCCAGACTGCAGAGAAGAGGGGGAAAAAAGGGCAGGGGTCCAGAGAGCCTGGGTGAGTCAGCAACTCAGATGAGGAGGACGTGCAGGAGGAGAAAGATGCAGAACTCGAAGACAGGATCCAGAGTTGCAAAAGGTGTGAGGGGCAGAAACCAGGAAGGGAAGTGGTTTGGAGGGTTTATGAGGCAGGGACAGAGATGTGCTTTTACTCTTTCACATTTCTAAGGACAGTCTATTGACACCTTTCATGTTCAGTGAGGGACAACAACAGCGAGGCCACACTTTGGTGTGAAGGAAGGACTGGAGCGGGGGGAGAGGGGAGGCACCAGCGCGGGGTACTCACCGGCCGTTGTCGCGGCCCACACCCCACACACGGATGCTCGCGATGGGCTGGGAGTGGAGCACGGTGCGGTCCATGGGGTCCACCAGGCTGAGTGTGTCGTTCTCCAGGATCAGGTACATGTCTTTCCCCTGGGGTCCCAAAAGAAAACACGCTCTTTTTCTCGGAAAGCTATGGGTCATGATGCCTACAGCCATCTAGGGACATCATTTCAAGGGGCAAAAGAAACCACCCTTCAAGTCTGTTATTTGTTTTCCTAAGAGCAACATCCTCTCCTGACTAAGCATAGGTCTGGGGCACCTGGGTGGCTCAGTCGGTGAAGTGTCTGGCTCTTGATTTCAGCTCAGGTCATGATCTCACAGTTCGTGAGATCAAGCCCCATGTCAGGCTCTGTGCTGGCAGGACGGAGCCTGCTTCGGATTCTCCGTCTTCCTTTCTCTCTGTCCCTCCTCCACTCATGCACGCTCTCTCTCTCTCTCTCTCTCTCAAAAATAAAGAAACTTAAAAAAAATATGCATGAATCTTTCATACTCTCCCCACACCCAGCTTCTCTCTCCCTTTCCAAGTCCTCTCAAATGTATCCTTAGCCTGCCTTCTACCCAGCTCTTGTTTTTCATTATTTACAATTCTGAATCTTGACTCGGGGAAAAAAGGCTAATGGAGGGGTTCCCTGGAGAATCTGGTCTTTCGCTAACTCCACGCCTGTCATTCTCATCACCTGTCTCTGTCCATCCCTTCCTCTCTGGTCAGACCCTAGCAGGCATGTCCCCGACGGCCTTCCCACAACCATTACCATCCCATCCCTTGGTATGTACAGTACTTTGCATCTATGTGATTTGGTTGACAAACAGCAGGTGCATTTGTGGCATCTCTTGGTACCACAACAGCTAGTGTTTATAGGACTTTATCGCATTGCAGATATTATGCCATGTGCTTCGGGCACATTGGGTCATGATCTGACTTGCCCTGAGAGCTTGGTGTGCTATTATCTCCGATTCACAGACAGGGAAATCGAGGCTTCAAGGTTAGGCAACATGCTCCAGGTCTGACCCAGAAACTGTGAGGCCTTTAGCGACACGGTGCTGCTGTAATACCACAAGGAGAGGCCGAGGTTTCTCACTGCTTGCATGGCTCTTTAGGGTTTGGCCTCCTGTCTCCTCACATATGTTGGCTCTTTGGGGCCAAGAACACTGGACTATTCAATTTTATTCCCCCTGCAATTCCTCAGGCATCATTTGAGAAATTACTAAACATTTGCTGCACACTAAAAGACGGTGTCCTTTCCCCCACCCTTAGCTGAGGGCAGCCCTCTGGTGGTTTTCAGGAGATGCAAGATGGCTGTGCCTCGGAGAGCTGGGAATGGAGAGGGGGCAGGTCCCAGGTGGTGCCAACCAGGTGATGCACACTGGGATTACTGAGAGCTGTCTGGGCATGTCTGGTGCCTTCTCCTTCCTCTCCGTCCTTCCCCCAGGAATGAAGCACTGACTGTAGCCTAAGAGATCTTCAGCCAGACCTGCTAGTGAGTGGCCCCCAGTACAACTCCCATCTGGTAACCCCCACCCCACTTCTGTCCAGCTGCTGCATGGCAAACACCTTGCAGATACTAACACACTCTGAAAGCCTCTGTTTTAATGCTTTATGGGATGTGAGCCATGGTCCCCCTCACTGAGCAGGGTGATGCATTTCCTTTGAGCTAACTCAGCTTAGAAACCCCAACCGGTCCTCCCAAAGGTCCCAGAGGCTGTCTTTGTTGGTTGGTTCTACTGGCCATCTTTACACTGTTGGTCAGAACCGATGCCAACTTCCAGCTGGTCGTCTAAACTGAGAATGGCTGGCTGAGTACGGAGTGTCCCCGAATGAAAATACAGCGTGTCTTCTGCTGGGTCATTCAGCACACTCATAGCTTCCCATGCACACCCTATCGATTTTCTCATTAACACACGGCAGCTCTGGGCTGCCCAGTATGAAGTCTTGCTAATTGGTTTTTGTTACCCCAACAGCGATGTGTATGCAGCCGTCATCTAAAGATGAGACACTCATCCAGCACTCATGACTTTATTTTCAGTCAGTCACTCAAACATGTAAGGAGTTGTGCTGTATGTGTGAGGCATGGCAAAAAGGCAGAGCTCATAACCCTAAGCGTTGAGCTATACTTCATATACTATGAACCAGAAACACTGCCTGAAGAGTTTATTATTCAGAAGAGGAAAGAACTGAGAAAAACAGGAATGGCATAGCAGGGTTAAGTAGCAGATTTCTGGCCTGGCTGCTCCCTCACCCTATATCCCCATCCAAAGTTCTCTCTCTCTCTCTCTCTCTCCTGTAGGAATCCTGCCAAGTGGAGATTGCTTTAGAATTTTACTAAGCTCTTCTAAGTATCTAATGCTAAGTATGGTGGTATTCATCAGTCACTCACACATTAGTATAAATTACTTTCTTCTAAATCCTAGCTGAGATTTGTTCTTTTGGTGGAATAGCATTTTTAACTGAAGGAGATGGCAGGTAGATAATTTGGTGGGAAAGACATGTCTGGGTATTTGGGTGGGAGGTGGGAAGCAATGCAGTGAAAGTATGGGAAAGCCAAATACCAAACAAATGTCCTTTTCTTGGACAGGAGAAAATTTTTCCCTCTTTTCCCCATGCTCGAGATCTGAAAGTCTGGACGGCAATGCAGCCCAGCCCCATTCTAAGGTACAGAGACTCCTCCACGAGAAGCCTTGGGAGCCCGCTCTCATTATGACACAGCTCCTAGGGTAACGTGATGGGGGCTCCAAACAGCCCATCAAAGGTGTCAGGGCTCTGGTGACCCTGGGCATGGTTTAAGGGTCATGGATTCATGCAGCGAGCACTGTTTCCAGGTGCTTCTAACATACCTGCTCCCCAGATCTCCAAGCATGGTAGGAATATGGATTTTCCCGTTTGATATGATTTTTATACGAATTTGGTATTTTTACCTATTACGTTCCTTTCTGAAATGATGTCAATTAACATTTCAAAACAGAATTACCTTATTCAAAGTGAGAAAAGAATATATAGGCATCCATTCTAAAAGCTCAGGTATAATACTGATTTTCAGATTATAAATAAAGCAGAACGTGTTATAAAAGGATAATTTGTCAACTTTTAGAGTACAGGGACATCAAACATTGCTGCGTGCATGTGTAGGGGTCACAGTACCCTTCGAGAACATATTTTCAGAGAGCTCTTCACTCCTTCCTACATAAGGGTGCATCCGATATTGCATGCAAGTTTCGGGGTTTCGGGGCCCTAGCACCCATTCATACATCTCTGGGGCTCAGAGATACCAGGTCAGACCCTGTCATGTAGACACAGAACTGTTCTCTGCCAGGGCCCAGTCCTCGCTGGGATCTTGGCTGGGCTAACAGATAAATCAAAGGGTACAGCATGCTCACACTACCTGCCTTTCTGGGAAAATGCACCTGATAAACATCCTCAGTATCACATCCCGCGGAGCTCTGGCGTCTCACAAAGCACAGCAGAGCATAAGCAAGCCTGCCATTAATTATTCCCACGTTTTACTCACCTCTCCCCAGATGCCGACCGTATCCCGGATGTCATTTTTGCAGTAAGAAAGCTGCCTGATGCAGTTGTTGACGGCAACGCTGCTTTTACCAGGGGCGAGGTCCTCCTCTGCCATTTCCACCCATCCCAGGGAACGCACAGCAAAACACTGGAAGACAAAGCAGAGGGCATGAAAGTACACACTGATCATGGCCCCTCTCCTCCAGTGTGCCCAAATCCCCTGCAAGGTAGCCCTAATGCATCTTCAGTTACTATATCATGTCTGGTCATCAAATTCAGCAAATTCCTCCATTGTTGGAAAATTACACTGTGACTGTTTTTTACTGTTAAAAACATGTAGTGATAAACAACTTCTTGCCTACTTTTCTGTGTGTGTTCAGATTTTTGTCTCAGAGTGTAGATTACTAGAATTACAGGGCTAATTAGTACAAAGATTCTTAAGCTCCTTTACCTATGATAAGGCATTAAAAAAATTTTTTTTACATTTATTTATTTTTGATAGACAGAGAGAGACAGAGCACAAGTAGGGGAGGGGCAGAGATAGAAGGAGACACAGAATCCAAAGCAGGCTCCAGGCTCCGAGCTGTCAGCACAGAGCCCAATGTGGGGCTCGAACTCACAAACCACAAGATCATGACCTGAGCTGCAGTTGGACGCTTAACCGACTACTGAGCCGCCCGGGTGCCCCGGCATTTTTTTTTTTTAATAGTAAGAAATGCAACACCCATGAAATTTACTACTTGTTAAACGCCTAGAACAAGATAATGGGAGAGAGAAAGAATTAAATACATATTAGGTACTTGTTTCTAGTAATGATAAAGCAAAATGTGTTTTCTAGTACCCAGAAATGAAGGAAAATAGGGGGAAAATGTGCTTTTGTGATAATAGGTCTCGGGTCCTATAGCATCTGTAATTAGCACCAAATCCTGAAAGCCCACACAATGGACAAGTTCATAAGATACTTTACAGCACAAATTCTTTTAATGGTTTTATCCTTTAGAGATATTTTATTTGAGATCACACTCCTTGTCTTCCTTTTAGAAATTCGTTTCTTCAACTGTTTCAAAATATAAAAAGTATTATATGCACATTGCAGCAAATGAGAAAATTCAAAGATGTATAGAAAAGAAATTCACGGGACATGTGAGGGGTAATTTGGCTACAGATCTGCTTACTGTCAATCGCCAGGGATGCTAGGTGGCTGAAACCAGGGGCTCCCAAGCTGCACAGCACTTGAAGAAGAGCCTTCCCCGCCCAGGCGGGGCAAAGGAGGGGCCCCGTCTCTGCGGGAGCCAACAGGCTGGCTCTCAAAGAGCATCTTGTAAAGTTCCCAGAGTGTACTTCATAATCAGACTGAAGAAGAGGCAGTTAACTAGGTATGAGCAGTGAACAGGACAGCCCAACTGTTAAAAAGACAGAAAATGCCCACCCCACCTCCAGAATGCAAACAGCCAGGGACCCCGGGGAACGGGGAATGTACCTCCATTCTTTCCGCGAGACCGCTGCCCTAAAGTAACCTCTAGCTTCCTTAGAATACATTTACACTGAGGTTTTGAACCTCCCCCCAACTCACAGGGCTTGGCTGCCAGGGCAGTTCCAACAAGGACCACTGAGGGCGGAAGAACTCCCCCTCCCCGCTGGTCGGAGGAGTCCCTTGGAGGGTTGGAGGCGGCTCTTGGGAGGGCCCAGCTCTGACCCATAACCCGTGCTAGTATGAAAACCAGATAACCAACCGCCCCGTGCAGTTGCCATCTCCGGACCTGCCTGCTGTCCCAGCTGAGTGTACTTTTGCTTTGATCACTCTTGAATGCTTGCTTGCTTACGTGTGGTTCTGAATTCCTCCTTGGCCAGACTCAAGAACCAAGGCCGGGGAACACGACGACTTACTGCTGACGAAATGAAGAAATGCTACGAACTGTCCCAAAGTGACCACATTCAGTCCAGTTCCACCTCCCCTGTCTCGCCCCCACGCCCTGACAGGACACCTCCTTCCCCGAGTTGCTCACCACGTTCTCTCAGGGGGCCAAAAACCCCACCAAAGTACCCATCTATTTAAGCAAACGGCACACAGATCCTTCAGCCTAGTGGGGACACAGTGAGGTATCTGCATAAGCACAGGGAACAGAACAGCAGCCCTGAGCTGACGGTGGATAGGATGCCTTCTACAAATACACCAACAAGACAAGGTGTCCCTGTTGACAGCTGCAAAAGCTACTCAGCGCTCTGTGTCCGGAGGGAAGTTTCTGGGAGACGCCCTCACACTTCATCCAGTGCACCGAAACCACTCACACGGGAGGCGGATGCCCACGGGCACGAGGGCGGCCGTGACCAGCAGGGGGGTGGCCTCTGTCAGTGGCGGGCCCGGCCGTCTGCAGCTCTGCTTCCTCAGCCCGGAGACCAAAGTGTGTTTCTCCTGGCGGGCAAGTCACACCCGCCCACACCATGGCACACAACTTCCCCAGCTCACAACCTCCGGGGGGCAGGGTGGGGGGCTGTGCCCCTCAGTGTCCCTTTCTGCTTCCTGCACGTTAGTGTAACTCACTAACCTCCTCCTTGTTGGTTCCAGCGTGGCCCCACATCGGTAAAAACACAGTGCCACAATGATGGGGTTTTGGGGTGGCGGTGGGGTTGGGAGCTGACGGCCAAGAAAGAATTCCTGAGAAGTCTTTTGATGTAAAGACAGTGATTTTATTAAAGCGCAGGGACAGGACCCGTGGGCAGGAAGAGCCGCACTATAAGTGTGTGTGTGTGTGGGGGGGGGGG